GATGGGAACGGCCCTGCAGACATTCTCCCTCATCGAAAACATCCAGGAGAGAATAAAGGCCAAAATAAAGCTGCAGTGCCTACCGATCTATTTGTCCCGACTGTAGTTACTACTACATCCTTTCCGGCATATAAGCATAATACGAGTACCAACAACGCAATTCACAACTACTATTGCGAATCAAATATGTTTAGGCAGAGCGAGACGAAGAGGGTTTTGAACAGCCCATCCAAAGACCCATGCCGAAAGCGAAGGAGGACTCTCCAAAATATCGACCCTAATAATCAGATCTTGGCATCTTCGATTCTCGAATCTCCGCAATTTTCTGCCAGCTGCAACCTCCAAAGCAACAAGAACAGCCAAAAACCAGCCATCAACAACACAGATAGAGTCAACCTGCAACTCCTGCCGCGTCCCCGAACACCAACCCCCTCCCAGACAAGGTCACAGCAAGCAAGCCAAGAAAATGACCGACCAATCCATCATAAAAATCCATCGTCTTTGCTTAATGTTCAAAACGAAGAGAACAAGCCTGAAGACAAGCTTTCTTTCATCGCAAGCCCAAGCCATGTCTTCGACGACAGCCGAAAAGGCTCAATCACCACTCAAGATTTTTTAAACGAAGCTACCAAAATCATGGACATAATACGTGCCAGGGGGAGAAATAACAATAACCATGACAGTCTATCTAACGTCAAAAAATCCAACAACCAGCTGACTGAGGCAAGTGAAGCAGACTCCTGCGATGATGACGACGAGTCAACGCAAGAGGAATTTTCAAGACCCGCAAGTCGTGAAGGGGTTGATCTTCGCAAATTACGCGAACCTCCACAGCAAAATCCGCGGATCGTGAGCCATTTGAAGAAGTTTGAGGATGAGGATGATTTCGAGCTTTATATGGGTGGTTCGGTTATGTCGTTGCATCTTCATAGGGAGCAGAATGTGGCTACTCATTCTATTGAAAGACAGGAAGCTAATGGTATTGAAAGTAATTCGAAGAACATCAAAATACGGGAGCGGCCTGCCGTGGTAAAAGTGGGGGGCTCCGCACCCGCTTTACCTGGATATTCTAACGGTAGTGGTACGGATGGCCAGCAGGAGGTATCATCCCAGAGATCATTGCAGACGTCATCTTCACGTGGTTCTTCCAGCAGTTCAGGGGCAAAGGGCATAATATCTTCGGATATGATAGCGCACTTAATCCCTGAGCAGGTTGGGGCGATGACGTACGATCGCTCAGCGCACACCTGGGTCAAGGGCGGGGACATGGCACGTAGCGAAGAAAGACCTGCGTCGAATTTGGAAGGTGATATCAGTGAAGAAGATCCATTCAAAAGCATCCCTGATCTTAGCGTTGATGAGTTGCAGGAGCTCATGGCTGCGCAGACATTCTCGTCGCCAGCGAAGTCGCAAGGGAAACTGTGTTCCATGACTGCAGCGTATGGCGAGCATGGCAGTCAGAGGGGCCAACACGCTGTTGAGGAGGCGGTTAGGGGGGAAGAACGGAGAGAAATTCCTGAATTTAGACCGCTTACCCGCGACGGCCGTTTTGAGACGAGTTCCGTACAATCGAAATCTACGAGGTTTACTTCCAGCTGTCCCAAGCTGGACACGGACACGGACACGAGAGCTACGTCTTGGAGTAGTGAGGAGATGGCAGCAAGCATGCACGTTCAGCCAGCTTCCGCGGATTCTGCCAATTTCTTGAAGCGCGTTGATGACATTAAGTGGCAACGCGGTCAGGTTCGGTATCCGCAGCAGATGGATGGTGGCCAAGTTCCTGGCGGCCTTACTAGGCCCAGAGTTGCGACGATTTCGTTTTCGTCGCCGTTGTTATCGCATGTTATGTACCAGGAGGATTCGACTAGTCCTGTTGAATCGGAGCAGCCACCTCTACTTTCAGTTCCGCAACATGGCAATATCAGTGGATTTCAGAGTCAATCGGGTACCGTGCCGTGTTCATATATGAATAGCTCGCCATTTAGGACTTCTTCGCGGCATAATGGCGCGTTTGACATTCGAGCGTTCATGGGACGGCCTATCTCGCGGATTGATGAGCAGACTGAGGATTCAGCTAATGAAGACATTCATGTCGAGAATCACGGGCTTTCTGTTATACAGGTCCCCGGTCACGAGGAGCAGTCTATGGTTTTTCCGGGTTTCCCGGACATGGATACTACGTACAGCTTTCATCTAGCGCCACTACCGGACTTTAGTCTAAATCAGATGGATGAGTCCATGAGGTTGGAGGTCAGTTATATCGCTCAGCGTACTCACCCGTCATCTCTCAGACAAATTCACGGGACATTTGCACTGGCGACTCAGGATTTGGTAAAGCATATCACCGATACTGAGCCGTACGAACCATACTGGGAACACCTACGACGCCTCGATCTTCGAGGTAAAGGCCTCATAACGCTACATAGACTTAACGACTTCTGCTCACGGCTTGAGGAACTCGATGCCTCAGACAATAATATCGGGCAGGTTTCTGGTGTTCCCTCGAGCGTTCGCTCGTTGAAGATCCCATGCAACTGTCTGACGAATTTGACATCGTGGGGACATTTGGGTAATCTGCAGTATCTGGATGTATCTGGGAATAAGTTGGAGGATTTGGATGCGTTTGCGGGACTGGTGCATTTGAGGAGTTTAAAGGCGGATGGGAATCGGATAAGGAATATTAGGGGGGTTATGAGGTTGAATGGGTTGTTGACGTTGAAGGTTAGGAGGAATTTGGTGCGGGAGGTTGATTTTGGGGAAGGGGAGTTGTAAGTTATATATTTTTTTATCTCTGTTCTTTCTAAGGGGGATTATTGATGAGGTGTGTGGGCTGCTAACGATGGTTCAATTCAAGGACGCGTTTGATAAACCTCGACATGCGCGATAATCGTATCACGAGTGTACGCAACATTAGATTCATTAAGACTATCGAAAAGTTGGATCTTCGGGGTAACCAGATTCAGCACTTCGAGTCGTCAGAAGTGCTACATTGCCTACACTCACTTAACTTGTCGAACAATTACATAGAAAAAATAGATATTAGGAATTTTCCTAATCTCCATCTTCTCTACGCTGACAAGAATCATCTCAGCACGATTACGGGTCTGGAACAATGCCATTATCTCGACGTCCTTTCTCTTCGCGAACAGTCGCTGCCATCTTCTTCCCAACAGTCGGACGTTGATCAGCTACCTGTCATCGACTTTGATATCAGTGCAGCCCTCTCCCTTCGCAAGCTATATCTGTCCTCCAACCTCCTCTCGCCCGATCTCCTTGCCCCACCCGGTGGCTGTCCCAGTCTACAATTCCTTGACATCGCCTCGTGTGCCCTGCAAGAATTACCCAGTCAGTTCGGCACGTGTTTCCCCAACCTACGGGTCCTGAATCTCAATTTCAATGCGCTCGCTGACGTGGGTGAGCTGCTGGGACTCAGGCGGCTTGGACGCGTCTCTTTGATTGGCAACCGCATCGCGCGGCTTCGGAGGCTCTGTCAGATTCTGCGTTCCGTCGGTGGACGGTGCGGTGCGTTGACTGACGTTGATCTGAGAGGGAACCCTATTACATTAGGTTTTTATCCTGCTCCCGTCACGGGGAGTAGGAGGATGTGGCGCGATGAAGCGGGGAGGCTTGTTGGGGCGAAGAAGCACAAGTATGAACGGGTACATGTGCATGGTCATAGTGGGGGGGAAGGGCAGCTGCAGGTTCGCGGGAGAGATGGGGAGGATGAAGATGAGGGTGAAGAGGATGTGGGGTTCCTGACCCTGGGCGGTTGTACGGATATTGCGCGGAAGGGATTTCGCGAGTCGCGGGTGGCTGATGATGCAGATAGTGTTGGTGGTGAGGAAGTAGAGATTGACATTGACGACCAGTACACTGTGCCGCCAGCGAACATCATTGCGGATCGAAAGTATGTCATGCACCTTGATGAGGCGACGAGGTTGCGGCGGCGGGTTGTGGAGCTTATGGTGCAGGCGGCTGCGGCGGGGAGGTTGAAGGTTTTTAATGGGTTACCTGTTTGTGGCGGGGATGACGGGGATGGGGATAGAGGGAGGAGTGGGTGTGTGAGGAAGGATGAGGTGTGGAGGAGGCTGGAGGAGTTGGGGGTTTTGAAGAAGAGGAAGACGGTGCAGGTGGAGGTGTGAGGATAAGGGGTGGAGTGTTTGTGGAATGTGGGATGAATGTGGTTTTGTTTTGTTTTGTTTTCCTTTATTTGTTTTTTGAAGGAGTAACTCTCTTTTGGTTGTCTTTGGGCCATTTGGAGATTGCATATGTCCTATCAGGAACGTTGTGAGGAGTTTTGCTTTTCATATATACGGCGTTAAAAAGCGTAGCAAGATCTTTTTCCTTCGTGGGTTATCCCCAAGTCATGGTTTCTATCCGTCTATACCGTTTGTTTTGCATATAGCGTGGTCTGGGTTTGTCTTCATAGTTTGTTTCTCTTTTTCTTCCTTTTTAATTTTTCGAGGAATGCCATTAAGCTGACCTGCGGTGCGGGTTTTGCGTTGATTTTGCATGGGTTAGTTAACTGGATATGCCCCTAGATAGTAGAGAGTTTTGACCAAATTTTTAACTAATCTCTGACTGGAAACATGCCGGTTGGAAGCTATTTTGCAGTTAAGCCCTGGTTAAAGCACCAACTACTGGAACGTATTGTACGCACCTCGGCATTTTCACTGTATGGTATTGTAACCAAAATACTTCGCCAACCTCAAAACATCAAAACATCAAATATCTGCGCAGATGATCCTCAACAGCATTCCAACCTTCCGGTGCAACGCTCGATTCATATCCGGCCACCTCCCCTGAGGTACCTAGTGGTGTTGGGTTCTCCTGTGTTCTCTTCCTCGCGCTCCATGGCCGGCTCCCGTCCCCGTAATGACTCACTGTCAGGCAAATTATGGGCCTCTTCCTCGCCTGCAGCTGGCGGCGACGAGGAGACATCCTCCTTGCTGGGAACTGGTTTGACTGTAAGTGAGGCCAGAAAAGCAATAGAACATTTCAAGTTCTCTTGGCAATGTCTTCATCTACTGACACGACTTCTCAGACTCGACATCTTGAGGCTTTTACCCGCAAAGTCTCTACCACCGCTAGCCATCTCATCGGCCCAAAACAAGACACTCCCAGCGGAGCACACTATCATTCTGCGGTCAATGATATCCACAAGGAGCTGCGACGCCCGTCCACGCAACGGAGAATGTTTTCTCTCGCCCAGACCACTCCGACAGACCTCGTCCGATCCAAACTATCTACCTCCGAAATCCAAAATCGCGCTATTTCTGCTCTTCCAGATGAACTGTTAGTGAATATTCCGGAGGGCACGAGCTCATACTCCTTGTTCCAGGGATTTCAGGCCTCCATGCCAGAAGATGAACACGAGCACAGGAAATCACACCGGAGGCGAAGCTCACGTGCGCATAAATTATTGGATAGTGCGGGATCGGTTGCGGGGACATTACCACCTACTATCTCTTCATTAAAGAAGGACCGGGATACGTTCAGTCGAAGACTGGAAATGATGGGGATAAGGAAAAACATGTGTAGCGCGGAAATTCACGAAATAGATAACAAGATTGCGAATTTGCACAGTATGCGGAAAATTGTGTTGGACCGTCTAGCGCGGCTTGAGATGGATGAGGCGGATTTGGAACATGACTGTAAGATTTTCGGGCTTGTCCAATTTTGTTTCTTTTTGGGGAAATCGGAAGCACTAACGTGTTAAACCGGACAGTGGTTCAATTAGATAACAAACTTGAGGATATGGAGGAGGAAGCAGCAACGTCCCCGGACACGCCGAAGACGAATGATGCTACAGACCCCTCAGTCGCATCCGACACACAAGCCATGGATGCGTCTTTTATGTCGAAGTCAATCTATGAGAAACTCCCATCTCCCAAGACCTGGAAAAACAAATCATTCAGTCAGTTCATTTCACCCACCCCGCTCCGCCATTCTCAAATCAATATTGATAAAAAAGTTGTAGGAAAGAGATCTATGCCCGTTCTCCACGAACATTTCGAGCCGGGCTCCCTAATGAAAGAAATAGAAGCACATAATGACATGATATCTGCGATCGATTTTGACGTCCCCTTTGGAACAATGGTCAGCGCCGCGTTAGATGACACAGTCCAAGTCTGGGATCTAAATTTGGGCCGATCTATGGGATTCTTAGAAGGTCACCATGCCTCCGTGCGTTGCTTGCAGGTCGACGATAACCTCGTCGCCACGGGGTCCATGGACGCATCGATCCGGCTATGGGATCTCAGCCGAGCAAAATATATCCCCCGGGATAATCGCATTGGCAAAGAGGGCACTGACGACCAGGAGGATAACGACGATGGGCTTGACTACGAAAACCCGGCCGCTGCACCTCTACCACCCTCTCCCCGCAGCATGGAAGAGTGCCACTTGTTCTCATTAGAAGCGCATGTCGACGAGGTTACAGCCCTGCATTTCCGCGGCAACACACTCATATCAGGATCAGCGG